CCCCCAAAAAAAAAAAAAGTTCTGTTCCTCTGTGAATCTATCATGGAGCACGTATGAAATCTCAGACTCAAGCTGGAAGAGTTTTCCTAGTATTTCTGGAGAAAACCACATAGATCACCAGAACATTTATACGCAGGATAGGATATCTCATAATTCTATATTTGGATACATGTATGCTGCTTGGCCATTAAATAGTGTCATCATGATGTGTTTTGCAAGTCAATGGCATGGTTAATATATAAAAGGATCACAGGCTAATATCTAATAGGAATCATGCGGATGCTTTTGGAAGCTAAATTAAGGGATTGAAAAAATTGGCTCAAATTTTCAAATGCTCTGTTTTAAAATGGTTTTTTAAAGAAAAAAAATCCTGTAATGAAGATTTACATTCATGGAAGGGAATTGTATGCAGATACTTTGCCTGTGGTATTTGTTTTCCACACATGCATGGACAGTGCCATTGCTGCAAAAGTGGACTGTAATCTGTTTGAGCCTCTCTCTACTGTTTTTATAGAACAATAACCATTTTCTGACATCATCAGTTTGCAAGATTTTCACTTATCCACCAGAAAGAAAAATTGTATGGCATCTCAGTTATTTTATATCCATCAGCTGGAGTGTCTGCTGTGACATAGGGCCATGACTCTATTCAGTTATAATAGATTGCCTATGGTGCATTCAGTGACTCTGGTACCTGTTGCTGGTTCTTTTTCCAGGTCAACTGGCTGCAGGTACATGTGAGATTGTTACTTTGGACAGAGATAGCAGTCAGCCCCGAAGGACTATAGCCCGACAAACAGCTCGCTGTGCATGTAAAAAAGGACAGATTGCCGGTACGACAAGAGCAAGGCCAGCCTGCGTTGATGGTAAGAGGAAAACATACATTCAATCAGTACCTACCAGCACAAAAGTTATCACATTTAATTGCTTGTTTAAATAAGAAAGGTTATATCTATCCGATATTCTTATGAGTCAACTAACCTGACGCAGTCAGTTCGTTTTGTGATATGGTTAAAATCTTCACTATCAGGAATTACTCACTAAGAGCATAATTTTTCCAAAAGAACAGTGAATCAAGGGTATTTTTCTTCTTTACCATGTTGATTTCTGATTTAGTTTGGTAATTCAGGTGAGCTAATAATAGCATTGGGCTAATATATTCTGTATTTTAATTTGAATGAAGCTGAATCCCATGAGCAATATAGAGTGGGTTTTTGTTTAAGTTCTTTGTGAAACCAAATATGCACTTATTGTAATCTAGATTCAAAGATTTAATACCTTTGAGGCTCATGTGACCACTCCGGCATGAAAGTTAGTGTTCTTGAAAAAAGCGGTAGTGATGTTATTGGAAAAGAATATGTGTATGTACCTTACAAGCATAGTATTTCTTCTTTCATTAAAATGATCATTATATATGATTCACTGCAAATGCAGTGGCTGTGGAAAGCCTGCAGCCTTCAAAAATGCTGATGTAGAGGAAGGTATGAAAATATTTCACTTTGAAATCATTTTGTGAAGCAAATGAACTGCTGTTTTACAACTAAGTAAAACAGTAGCAATGGTGCGGTCTTCACTGTAAGCTTGCTGAAGTTAACTTATTAGGAAGTATCCATATTGCATTAGAAGAAATAAAATGTGATGCAAAGTATATGTTAAAATAGTTGACGTACATGATCTAGACTCTTAGCAGCAAAAGAGAAATGCTTTTAAATGGAGACAATAATGATTGCCTTTGAAAATGACTCATCTACTTAGCTTGAGTCCTCAAATAAAAATATTGCAGGCCATTTCATCAGAATTTGATCTCATTGTCTGTGAAAGAAGACAGCTCAATGGGGATTTTGGTGCCTACCCACAAAGCTAAGCATAGAATTTCACAGGTTCTGTAGTTTGCTTTTGCTATTGTTGATATTCTGTAAATCAGTTCATTTTCTTCATTATGGATTGTGGGACTCCATCGCCAATAATTTTCTTATTTCCAGTTTGCAGTAACATGAAATGGTTTCATTGTGAAATTAAGAGATGAATTTTTAGTGAGCTATCTTACCTATTCATGCAAATTTTGCACACCCCAATTGTTAGCAAGTTGGTCAATTCAACATTATATGCACTTGCCCAATGTGAGGTAAAGAGGCAGGTTTTGTTAGGGCAAATATGGGTTTTGCATGTAGAAACTAGATACACTCACAAATTTTGCTGAGACAATCAAGGAGGCCATATGTTAACTGGGCTCAACTTTCAGATTAATAGGTGTCCCATCTCATAGTCATATGATGAAAAGAAAAATGTCTCCATGTATCTGTGGAATTGCTGGAAGGTGTTAGCACGTCTCCTCGTTTTTCTGTAGACACCCTTGGTAATCATCTTTATATAACGAAAGAGAGTAGATTAGTGTAAATACATCTATTTATTCATGTGTGTATATCGATTTTATCAGCAGAATTTTCAGAAACATTCATGATCCATCGCTGTCTTTAGGCACTCAGCCTCTGACATTCCAGTGATTTGCCACACATTATCCATTCATCTCACTAGTCATCCCCTTCTGTGATGACTCTCCACCATTCTTTCCATTGTAACTTTCACAAGGTTATTTTCTATGCCTGATTTGACCAAGGTACATACATTTGCTTCTATTGATTTTTGACATCAGGGTCTGCTTCTCTTCAATAACTTTTCTAATGTAGGCATTCATCTTTTTTTTTCTGTCCATGAGATATGCAAGAATCTTTGCCAGCAGCATATTACAAATGCTTCTATTTTCTTCTTGTCAGCAGCATTAACTTTATTCACATCCATAATCTGTATGGAAAAAAATAAGCTTTTCACCAGTTCCGCCTTTTGAGATGGAATGTTTTTTTCCACATGTTTTTAAGGAAAGCAATACCTGAGCAAGCTTTCCCTTGTATTTTCTGAGTCTTTAAAAGAGCTTCATTAGTTGATTATATGTGATCCCAGATAATTAAATCAATCTACTACCTCTCTATCTTATTGTTGTATTCTGTTTTTTGTTAGCAGAGTCAATGTACATGCATTTCGTTTTCATAACATTCAGGATTAGTCCATATTCCTCACCAATTGTTGTTTACAGACTCCAACATTTGTTGCATTGCATCAAAGTTGTTACAAAGACTATCATGTCTTCAGGAGATGTGAGGGCAGTTAGGTGTCCACCAATGGAAATCCAAGCTCCTTCTGCTTTGTCAGAACCTTCCAAGACTTGTTACATAATACAGTCTGTGTATATATTTGAGGTTTGCAACAAAATACACTCTAGTTTCATAGACTCCCCAGTGGAAAACCACTGTCAGCTGCCTCTGTTCACATCATGGTTGCTCTTGGGGGAAGACTTGCGATGAGTTCAGTGAGTTGCTTTGGACTTCCCATATTTGCTGTTATTCTCCAAAGATGGTTATGTCAGACAATATCAAATGCTTTTAAATTGTCACTGAAGCAGGTGATCAGTTGGTAATCACTGGGTTTTTTTTTCAGTCATGTGTCTAATGTGTGTCACTTGGTCTCATGTGCTTTGAAAACAGATTGTGGTGGTGATAATTCTGATTCTATCACTTGTTTCATGCCATCCTGAACTATGCAGAAAGAATTTTGCTGGCATGCAATACAGGGGTGATGGTATGATCTTTTCTACAACTGTCATTTCTGCCTTCTTTGATAAAGGCAGAAAAATTTGCTTTGTCCAGTCCCTGGCCCAGTTTTTAGTCATTCATATTAAGGATGTTAAATTGAGATTACCTAGCTAATTGTATAGTTGATACAGCCTTTGAAATGTAACAAGAGCCATGTGGGCTGAAGCTGTAGTTGTAACCAGCAGTGCTTCAGTCCCCTCTTGTGCCATTTCGCTTCTGTGCCTCCGCCTCCCCTGACTCCTGCAGAGATAGTGCTGGGGGGAACCGGCTTTGAAGTCAGCTCTCCCCGGCCCCTGCTCCCCTTCTTGCTGCCTCTGATAGCTTATGTTTATCTCAGTCGACTAGTTGACTAGTCATTTACATCCCTAATTGATATATTACTATCAATTCTGCACATAATTTCAGCATCATGATTGCCAATCTCTTTTAACAATCAATTCTACAGGCATGTTATCTACCCTGGTGATTTCCCAGTCTTCATTTTCATAACAGCACACACTACTTCCTTTTTGCAGGATTGATGGCTCTGACTCCATAATCTCTCTTTGTATCCTCATATATTATTAGTGGCTGTGGTGAGGCATAGAGAATGCCACCAGATTACTGTATTGTAGGAGATTGGAAATACAGGCCAAGACACTGTATACATACTGTAATCCCTCAGAGTATGTTTATACTAGCTCGTTAGTTCGAGCTAGGTAGGGTAATGAGAGCAAGCGGAGTTGCAAATGAAACCCGGGATTTAAATATCCCGGGCTTCATTTGCATGTTCCCGGGTGCCGCCATTTTAAAATCCCCCTTAGTCCAAACTCCATGCTCGCGGCTACACATGGCATGGACTAGGTAGTTCAAATTAAAGATCCTAATTCAAACTACCGTTACTCCTCGTGTGGGTGCCATGGCGCCTGCCAGGGCATTTAGGTGCACCTGCCTAGTGACTAGGACCAGCCCGAGCTATTCTTGCGCCCTGGGCGCCCAGCACTTGCACGGCCCCTCCCCCGGGCATGCGGAGCATGCACAATGCCACCCCCGGGTGCGCGGGTATGCACAGCCCCACACCCAGGTGCCAAGCAGACCCAAAAGGTTGGGGACCACTGGGTTAGGGATATTGAACTTCCCCAGACCCTTTGGAAAAAGGGCTCAAAGAAACCCGTAACTTGCTAGAACCATCTTAAATAATTTGTCATGAAAGAAAGAGAATATAGTTTCTACAGTGCTCATTTGGCAATGGTCTTGAGGAAAACAGAGACAAGACTTCCCTGGCAGCGTGACAGACTATGTCCATTTGGTTTCAACTTATGTATGGTTTTCCCTTAAAGTAGAAAAATATGAAAGATAATCCAAGCACAGCCCCTGGTCTATAGTCTCCTGCTTATGAATATACTTAATGCCGATAACTAAAATTGTCATACAAAAAATAAATGGTTCTATGATTTGGTGACGTGGCTCAATCTGAAGAACACAAACAGTTCTTGCTGTCCAAACAGGCAGTGGTAGAATTTTCTAATGGTGCTATTGAATGCTTTTTGCTGGCCAGTTCAGAGACGTATTCTTCACAGGAAGCTGTTCGTCCTTCTGGTTTTTATCAAAGTACAAGTTGAATCTCCTTGGTCCAGCACCCTTAGGGTCTGAATGTTCCTGAACAAGGGAGTTTGCCGTACTTGAGGAGGCTGGGGAGAGAGAAGGATGCAAGCCACACAGAGGCTGCGGGATTGCCCAGTATGACAGCAGGGGCCTGACACTGCAGTGAGACCTCAGCGTGGCAGCAAGAGCCTGGTGCGCATGGAGGTGGCGGGGCTTCCAGGCACTGCAGCGAGAGCCCAGTGCATGCGGAGAGATTGGGGGCTGACAGGGCAGCAGGTACCAGCGAGAGCAAAGAGCAAGCAGTGGGTCGAGGGCTGGAGAGAGCTGGTGGAAGCGGTTCCCGAAATGACCTCTTCTGGTTTGGCAAAATCCCTACTCCAGGACCTCATCCTGAGGGTGCCAGACCAGGGAGGCCCAACCTGTAATAATCTATCTAAGGGGATACACAGAATGACCCTCCATTCCTCTTTTTTATGGGAAAGTTTTGTCTTTGTACCTGATGTTGCTTCATTTGCTTGACTATTCGCCTCTGAAGTGTAATGTATTCATTATCCATTGCACTGTCTCATCTCAGAATGCAATGCTACAAGGTGTCCCTGTCTTCAGTACCTCCTGCAGGCCATCTTCCTCTCACT